TTCATTTTCATTTCCAATCAACTAATAAAAGGATAATAATATAGTTTTAGTGGTTTCTGTAGCGTTTCCTAATTTTAATTTTAAGGTATGTATCACGAAGTTCTGATACATTTTCAAATTTAATTTCAATGAAAAGATTCATATTTTCCCGATACACCCTATTATACTTTAACCTTATGAACCTTACTAACTGAACCTTACTGAACACCTACATTTCAGTTTTTTTGAATCGTTAAATTCTAAAATGCACAACTATAATAAAAATAAACGAAAAATTCTACTGTATATTAACTATTAAGTAGACATTTGCTATTGCATTGATTCGATTTTTTCCATCTTAATTAATTGTATCATATCTTGTACCAATTCTTATCATGAAATTTAACATAATATTTCATGTTGAATAATGACAGTTTTATACTTTTTTTGATAGTTAATGAAAATAAAAGACTGGAAGACCTTAAAATTAAAATTACGAAATCAGCTTCTAATAGAACCAGATTTGAATCTAATCTACAATTTTATTTTACAAAAGTGTTTTAACAATAATACCACTTAGTAATTTATATTTTCGGAAACTGTGGACATGTTTTTATAGGAATTTTTAATGTACATATTTTGGTAATACGTACTTCCTAGTATTATATTAATACATTTATATTTGTATCAACCTAATTTCTATCATGCGTTACAAGTTTTACCACGGTATAATCATAACAGTATTGATAGTATAATTAAAATTTCAAATTTTGTGATACAAATGGATAAAAATAATTGTAGGTAGATACTATTTAGAAGTATTATGTCGGTGTGAAAACTGAAAAGTAAACAGTCGTGAAAAGTCGCCCTAATCTATAATTCAGTACTTATCTATTAAATTATAAAAACACAGTAATGATAAGACTATAAATCAGGAACTAATATTTTTTCCTATATAGGTAGTAGATACCTACAAATGAGTATTTTAGTTCAATTATCAATCTATCATCATAATACACAAATCGAATACCATTTTAGACTTGTGTAGTAGTACTCTATTGTGTATTATGTTTCCCTAATCAGTAATCACTAAATTATACCGAAAATGGGCGCAGAACGACATAAAATGCATTTTAGAATGACAAGTTTTGAAATGTATTGTATACACTTACCTACCTATAGATATTACTGTCAATATTATAGTATTGTTATAATTATATGAGTATTGAGTAGGTAATAATAACTTATTTCCGACATTGAGATCTACCTCTATTTATAAAACATTTACATCATGTTCAGTTTATTATTATTTTTTTAAACCTTTTTTAAAAAAAAATATTTTATTACAACCCGAATGAATGGTTTACTTAATCCTAAACGTTTCATTATAAAACCTTCTAATTTTCGAGTCGTTATTTATTTTTAAAAGTACACGTGCACAGGCTGCAACTGCCTATTATGGAGTACTATATAGTATTATAGTTATCTATGTATATAGTATATAGGTATAGCATTATAAATTACAAATAAAACCTAACCGGCTAAACGTTTGAAAATTTCGAGATTTAAAATACTATTTTTATTTCGTTTATTTCGTTTGACAAACTGTTTACGACACAAAAAATGCGACACACTTACAAGTACTTTAGAGGAAGAAATTGATTTTCATCATCGCTTTATTTTCAATATTACACACGGGTAGGTGGGTACTGGCTGTTCCACTTACTTGCATTGAACCGCATTAACCTTAAGTGGATTTCGAAAAAGAAGATTTCAATGCACCAAAAAGCTTTCAACATCACTTCAATACTGAATGGATAAATCACGTCTTATATACTAGTATGCTACATCGAATACCAAAATCTAAATTTTAGTAGGTCCAGATTTTGTATTTTCATTGATTTGGGCACCAAAAATATAAACAATGTAAAGAAATATGGAGAGAGGAAGTATTTAGTTTTTATATTTTGAATTTGAGTACCTACTTAAGATAATACACAAGCAGCAAGTGCGTATTTGATGGAGTGATGGAGGTCTACTCTCACCTCCATCACTAAAATTACTATTTTTAAAACGATACATTAATTTATTTATTCAACTTAATACAGTTACAGTGAATATAGTTATCACCTATGTTACTAGTTTCAATTTGTAACTTACTATAAATACTACATAAAGTATAACCAGTAATATAATTATTTTATTTATTTATCTATAAGGTGGTAGAATAGAATTGCTGTGGTAGAGATAGAGTGTTATTATTTTACGCTTCGTGGATACTGCAATATCATGTTCCTGTTTTTAATTTCTTGTACAAACTATTAAATGCATCAAGACCCAAAGATTGCAAATAGAAATTAAAAAGCGAAAAGCATATAAATAGTAATTGGTTACTACCTCTATACCCGTAAGAACAAATACACACCTTTACAAAAAAAAAAAGTTAAAGGTGTTAAAATATAAAAGTAAGGCTATAACATATATATTTATAACTTTTATAAATTCTTATTTACTCATTTACCATGAGCATTTACCAAAAAGTTAAGTACATTTAAAAAGGTAGGTATCGAAATAAAAAATTATATTAAATTTTAAATAAGCGAAGAATGTTGGTTTTTCATTTTAGTAAATGCATCCACACAACTTCTTCTAAATGAATGATGCTCCTTGACGGATTAAATTTTTAGCTTCATCTCATTCAGTTGAAACTTACAATAACTATTTTATAATCTTATCTTTCATAACTCGTAGTTGTGTTCAAAGAAGATTTCAGTACCTAGTTTAAGCGACCAAAAAAACCATTCATTCGTACAGTTGTTATTATTTCTCGGTACAATTATTATTTTTAGTGTATTCGCAAATCACAATGTTGATTATCTGTCCAAGTAAGTCGTTATGTTCGAAATGCTAGGTAGCAGTTTTGCAAAGGTCAGTATTCAATGTAATACGTATAAGCGTATCATATTAAATATGATTCAACAATAAGTTGAGATGATGTACGCCAGTAAAACTTTATTTTATAAAAAAAAAAATTATGAAATACTCCAACATGAACGTGGAATCCCTAGAATTTATGAAATTCGCTTAGTTTATTTTGACTGTGAAGACTGTACAAACAAACTTAAACAAAACAAAAGAAAAGGTACACCCATCAAAAATAAATCATAAACAAATAGTAACATTGGCTCGCAAATAATTATATGAACAGTGATTAAGACATCAGAGCTATAACCACAAGTTAGATGAACTTATTAAAAATATGACAACTACTTTTGACACTCTCTTAACTTTCAGCAATAGGAAAATTGGAAAAAAATTTAAAAGAAAAAGACGGAATATAATATAAAAATCTAGAATTAAAAATAAACATATTAGAACAAAACGAAGAGCGTCCTTAGAAGAAAAAAGTGGAGTAAAAAATAAACATAGGTAATGAAAATTGAAAATGTTGAATCAGTAGTTAATGGCATAACAGAACCCTTGACAGAACGCGCACACAAGCCGCGACAGGGAGTGATAAATATTATTGTTATTATACTACCTTTAAGAATGAATGACCACACATAGAAATATTAACAATAATTAACAAAAATAATTAATCGAATCGTCTCGGCACGGCACGTCGTAATTCTCGTTTTCCATTTCGTATTGTGTACATTATATATAAATATAATAATAATTATACATTGTATTTTCTGACTATTCAATTAACGTGTCCGCGTGACTCTGATAATAGAATACACGTGCGCGTACAAATTATATACTATTATATAATAATAGGACGCGTGTACATACATATAATTGGTAAAAGGACAATATTGTATTATGAGAGAGTTTACAACTTTAGACTTGAAGTGATTCGTATGATGTAATTGTATGTGACTATTTCAAGTAACGTTTCCACATGATATTTTACAATATTACATTGTATTTAAACCAATCATTGAAATCACAGAATTCTGATGTTTAAATTTGTTGGAATTTTATCTATATTTCAATTGATTCATTTTGATATTCATGCAAATTTAATGTTTATAATGCAATGTAATTTTCTCTATTCAAACATTTTTCATATATTCTTTTTTTTTTACTATCTACATAATACATATAGAGTTTATAGATGAATGCTTTCGAAAAGTAGGTAAATTTAAAGCTACTTTACTTTATTCTCGTCGTCATATTTATACTATTTTATTTATATCCACCCTGCATTTTTATCTTTCGCCGTCGAATGTTAAGCCATCGTCGGCGCACTTAAATTCCTTTTTTCCAACAACCACAAAGACCATATTTAACTAATTTGAGCATAAGTGCATTATGTCTCCACTTCGTGCTCTTTAAATTGTTTTTCTGTGCCCTCTCTATCCTTGCAAACCCCTCAAATAGGTTTATCTAAGTAAAATGTCCACTATAATTCGTCTTAATCGTCTATAACTATGTTTATGAATACTTTCAGTAAATATTAATAATTATTGTTTTGTCAAATAAAGGCTAAATTGTATTTGAAAAGTATATTCAATTTTAATGGAAAATTGAAATTCTGTTAAATCAGTTTCTAACTGAAATCAACAAACGTATTGGTAAATACAAATAAATCATGAAAACGTCATGTAATTATCGATGACCTAAAATGTCAATTGTCAACTAAAATTTTGAATATTTAGACCTGTGAAAGGTATTCGTATATTATATAGTTAATTAAATGTCAATACTATATGTTAGTACCTAGTTGTACCGTCAATGATAATAATTTATAATTATTAATTTTTGTAATACGTTACATTCTGTGAAATATATTTAGAATTATTAATATACTTATTTTTACTAACTACTATTAATTATAACTTTAAAATTGGAAATATTGTAGACAGAGGCAAAATAAACTATTTCAATATTTTATTAAAGAAAACTAGCTTTAAGTAAATATCACAATAATATATTTGAATAATATAACTGAATAAATAATATAATTCCATTGTTATTAATATGATAATTTATACTGATGACACTTTATGTTTCAGAATATTTGAAAAAATAGTTCGATACTGTGATGCCTTTATTAGTCAATTACCATTATCCTTCATCTTAGGATTTTATGTGACTTATGTGGCCAAAAGATGGTGGAACCAATACTTGGCGATTCCATGGCCCGACAGGTATGTAGAATTATCCTCACCACCGAGTTGTAAATTAAAATATGTTTTTTTTTATTCATCATAAGAGCAATGCATGTGATATCGATGTATGTAGAGGGCAATGACGATTACGGCTGTATGATTCGAAGATCGCTAATGAGATATTTGATTTTGACAATGATTTTGGTATTGCGTTCTATCAGTTCATCGGTGAAAAAGCGTTTTCCAACATTAGAGCACGTCGCTGAGTCAGGCAAGTTATTAGTTCATTGTGCATTGATCCATACTACAAAGACAAACATTAAACATAATATTATATTAAAATAATTAATAACATATAAGTTTATTACCTATTGTAATAATTTAAGTAAATCATAGTATACACAATCAGCCGCGGCGTATCCAGGGGAGGGGCTAGTGAACTCCAGCCCCCCTCCCCCCATTTGCCCTATTTTGGTATAAATCTTATATGATAAAAGCAAAGTACAAACCATTATATTTTTGATTAATTGAAGAAACATTTTAAGCATTATCAATTATTTGTAGAGATTATTACGGTTACGGGATATAGTAATGACGACCTGGTATAAGGTAACGGATATTAAATTCTGATTTACTTTGTTTAGCCCCCTCCCCCTCGAAAAATCCTGGGCATGCCAATGTACACAATCGTTATTAATTTTAATAAATTTACACAGGCTACATGACTGCCGACGAGATGGAAGTATTTTATTCACTCCCCAAGGTGGAATTTAATACTTATTGGGTGCCTTGCACTTGGTTCATAACTCTGCTGAAAGAGGCCAGAAAGTCTAAGCGAATAGAAGATTCTGAAGGAGTCAAACTCATAATGCAGGTAATAAGTTATGTTATATCACAGTGTTATATGGACAGATGTTAATTGATAGTTTGATTAGATCTAACCTAACGAAAAGGCACATGCGTAAAAATTAAAAACACGTTAGTTCTTATTGTTTTAAGTTTCTGCACTTTATAGTATATCAACTAATTACGTACTACCTACCAATTACCTTACATCCCTACCATGTAGATGTATTCAACAACTAAATAACCATCTTCTTCATATCATTGAAGTTGACTGCCATGTACAATGCAGGCAATGCTTACAAACACAGTATATAATATTATGTAGGCATATTGTATATTATGAATAAGTGTCAACATTTTCTGATTTATAATGTCAATAATAAATTTACATGTGATCTAATTGTCACTTTGTTGGTCTTAATGTAACCCGTTGGTCTTACTGTCACCTTACCTCTACCATTAGCTAATGATATGCCACCATAGTGACTCGCAAATAATATTTTTTGCTATTATCATAAGCATTGGCTTGATAAACATTTCGGAGTTTGAGGTCAAAACATTACTCCAACTATCCAACTACGCAACCTTAAAAATTAGCATCCACTTCATAACGGCCACCTGAATGACTTGCACATTTTCAGAAGGGACTTGCAAATTAAAATCTATCGTTTGGTACCATTTAAATGTGATAGGACAACTTAGGTGGGCTAACTTTAGAATATTTAAAGCAGTTACTGGCCGTCTTGGTTACTGCAAATTCTACAACTGGAATTGCAAATACTCGCTAATAATAAGCTTTTGTTTGATATCTGTTTTGAAGTTTCAGAACAACTTGGGTCATAAGGTGGCTATAGTATATTTTAATCCATTTTGCATATTCATTTTTATAACATTTATATGATACGAGTTCCCGTCAATTTTTGGTCAGGATCGTGGGAGGAAATATGAGTGACGAATCCCCCCCCCCCCCAACCGTGAGATTTTTCGTTTCCGGGTGTTGCAGTCTAATTCAAATATAGGTAGAAAGTATTATTTCTAGTGCTGTTTTGGTGTGTATACGGAGATATACGGTTATGGTTTAAGCTCACTTACTATTAAGTATTTGATGAATTCGAGTTTACAATGTTAAAAGTAATTTTTACTATTTTCAAGCACGTATATCTTATTTTTTTTTTTTAAATTAAGCAACCAATATAATGTAGGTATAGTTAGTTATTGTCATATGACATGCCAATGTTATCAATCATCTAAGAGTTCAAACCGTGTAACAAATAATTAGTAATGGTTGTTTCCACGTATACGTGTACCTATTGGCTATTGGTATACTTAATTATCGTGACCGACAATCATCGGTTATTACAGTTTTTTCGATAAAAATATGTTCGAATTGCCACTACATCACAGAGTACTTAATAAAAATTGCCAACAGAATTATCAAGCTAAATGTTATAAAATATGAAATCTGTCCTGCGGAAATAGTTTTTAATATTAAGGAAAAAATAATCATTTTCAATAAACAATATTGGAGCCATATTTACGGTTACAAATTACTTTTATATTATTTCATTTCGGTTAATCGGTTATTATATTATGTATAGGTAGTACAATTAATTTTGATTTTATATTTTTAAGTCTCAAACCTACAATTTGGTTTTCATTTTAAATATATTCTAGCTGCAGACTAGTATAGAGATTTGAGAATGCATTACAGTAGCTTATGAACTTAAGAGTTAGACCAACGGTAGGCAACTGGAGGACCGTCGACCGGATCCAGATTACGTAAGTCAGAGAATAAGACCTTCTACATAACTTATAATTTTTTTTTCATATTCTATTATAAAAATATGAAGATTTATCAACGATTTTTTTCTTTGGACCTCATTTATTTATTATTTTAATTTTTCGGACTTCAATAAAAATTACTTTCCGACTCATGAGTTGGACCTTAAACAACTCAATTTATAATATGTACTAAATCTGACTAAACGAATAGCATACAAGAGTTAGACCACGTGGTTAAATCAAGTTTAACGTTATTTAAACTCACTTCGCATTTTGCACAGTAAATGCACTTAATACTGCGTTTTCTGTACTTTATTTCATACAACGAAAATCAGATTTCGTACTCGAACCCAAAAGCTGAAAAATAGTTTTTTAAATGAAATTACTAGTCAAATACTTTCCTAGCATCTGGAACCGAGATAACCATATTGAATTTTAAATTTCACTTACAGAACTTTTTTGCAACTTTGTACAACCAAAATCAAAATGTTCATACTTCGTGCCAAAATGTTCAAAAGAAATCATTTTTTTTATGTAAAGACTCAAATTTTGTATGTACTGTTTTATTTGCCCGATGTTTAACAATTCTTTAACCCTAGGTTTTAACCTGCTATTGTAATTTGAAATTATATGCACCTATCAAACTATTATGATTAGATTAAGTCTTGATTACGTTTTCTGTTTATTCTGCTGACATGGATTCAACTTTCCTCTACTCCTCTGTTGGGAATATTGAAATATTTAGTTCTATACTTTCAAGAAAAATATACCATAATTTGGTCGGCATAATACTTTCGACGATTGTTAAGGCTCTGGAGGAGTTACTAAAAACAATGTTTTTTTAATATTATTCTTCATGGGATCGTTAGCGCGTGATATTTTAGTGAATTTACTTGTATACATTGAGGAGAAAATTGTTATCTTAAGAATGATCTCTTTATCATCAATGTAGATCACCGAGGCTTATGAGTACGACTCTGTCTTCATTTTTTGCCCCATCAGTGAATATTTTAGGGTTTTGAAAATCTTTAAGCATTGTTAGTATATTGACTCGGTTTATATGTTAGCTATAGTTTCGTCTTTCACATTTAAAATATAAAAAAAAAATGATTTGAATTTTGAATTCATGTTTATGTCTGTGATATTATGGCCCATAATTTATAATATTGTTTATAATTTATTTCATGCACCTGTAATGTTAAATGTTACTAGAACGTACACGGTAACATCGTATTATGTTAACATGTTTACAGTAGACTACCTTTGTAATTTAAAATTATCTATAACTCAATTTATCTTAATTGAATTATTTAATGAACTAAAGGTAACCTGAGTTTTTACCTAGTATAAATTGCGTTTTATATTAACTAGTAGATGGGGTAGTGTTGACAATGAAGTCAAAATGCAATAATTGATAGAAATCGATAATGTATAGTTACTGACGAAAAATGTTGTGGGATGTATTAGTAGTGACAGTTTTTTTACAGTTAACTTTTACTCTAACCACTATAAAGAAAATAATATAAAGTAAACAACGTTAAGGGTCTAACGCGGTCGGTTTGTGGTTTTAAATAGAACACAATTTTATTGCAAGTGTAAATTTGTTAATTCTAATATTCTTAACTACTTTAAGTACATATTATAATACCACGTATTTACGGTTTTGTTATTTCTCAAAAATAATCTAATTTAGTATGAGTAATCTTTCTGCTATTAATAAAGCATCATTTAAATTATTTAATTCGTTCCCATATATGCTGCAACTTTTAGAAAATATAGGTTTAAAACAGTTGTATGAAAAAAAAAAGTTATGGTCTGAAATTTAAATGACAATATTTTTTTTCAGACTCATACTTACCTACCTTAAATAATTAAAATGTTTAAGTTTAATTAGCTAATTGTTAACTACAAACAATCAAACAATACAGAATTTAATCGACAATGTGCTATGAAAAGATTAAGTATTTAATAAAATTAAATGGCAAATTGTATTGTACTTCGATAATTGTTCTGTTTAGGAATTTATCGACTTCAGATCAAAATGTGGTTATTTGTGGAGTTATGATTGGATCAGTATACCGTTGGCGTATACACAAGTAACGATGATAATAATATTATTATTTTATTATTTTTGTCAATAAATAACAAAAAATATTTTAATTTTTTTAAGGTCGTTACAATTGCAACGTATTCATTTTTCATCACTGCTGTTGTCGGAAGGCAATACGTGGAAGGATCAAACAAAATGCTGCAAACAGAACTTGACGTATATATACCGGTGTTTACAATCGTACAGTTTTTGTTCTTCATGGGACTTTTAAAGGTACGTAGTTAATTATGATTTTAACTTGAAGTTCAGTATTTTAAGTGTATGTCTAACAATTTAAAAATAATAATTTATGGACCTTGTGTATAAATACTAAAATAACATAATATTGTAATAAAAAACAAACCCCTTCACAGGAAAGGTTAAGTTTTTGCGTGTTGTTTTACCGTCGTTAACAAAATTAAGCACACGCGTAATTGAATAATATTATAACGAGGAGACGTACTGCGTAGCTATCATTATATAGATGGATTTTGACATTTTACAGATCTATAGTTATTATTTCTTGGGAAGATTGGTTAATAATTTGAAAATATGATAATAACAACTTTAACGCTGATATTGTCTGAATGCAATAGAATATTAAGATTGTAAAGGAAATAACAATAAATTCAAACTGAGCAAATGAACTATAATATTTCAAGAATAATTTTGTATTTTACTACATTTTCGGTAATTACAAATTTCAATCATAAAAGTATAATTTATTCTATATAGATAGTCTCGAATATTAATAAAACTGAATACAGTAAAATATTGAATATAGTAGTATTGAAGTAGATCAATTAGCTCAATAATTAAGGTTTTATGTCAAAAGCTAATTTGTAATTACTGAATACTTATTGAGCACTTATTTTGAATGATAAATAAAATACAATTTATACATAGGACGAGATTTGAAAAATACCTACAAATTTCCATACAGTAAAGTGATACTTATAAAACTAGTTTAAAACTTAACACACACAATTTTCCGTAGTAGTTAACACAATAGTGTTATTCGTGTAATCATTTGAATAATAATTAATGTACTATGTGTCTATATTATATGGTTATTATTATAAATTTAAATTGTATCAAACAAATAATTTACAAATACGCCATACAGGTGTGTCATTATTAAGAGATTTTATCTGATTTCAATAAACGTTCGGTTAATAGCAATAGCTTATAATATATGAAAAATGTTTTTTTTTATATACATAAATTAATTAGTTCAATATTATAAGATGTATATTGAATATTCTATTAAAATATATAACTATTCGACGCAGACACACAATGAATGAAAATATAATTTATGATTATGAGTATAACGATGTTATTTTATAATGCTATCAGAAATATTTTTTTAAATTATGTCATAACACCTTTAGATAAAATTGTTAATAAAGAAATGTAGACGTCAACAGGTCTACTCAAATTCAGTCTGCTGTAAACTCTGACAATATAAACATTTCCGTATGAAAAAACTTGTTCAGAATTCGAGTTATTTTATTATTATTATTTTTTTTTTTTTAATTTAGTTATAGTACTTAAAAAAGTACTCAATATTATATTTCCTTGATTTGTACTATTTTAATATAATTTTTTAGGTTTTATACTAATATTGTTAATTTTTTTACAAGAATATCTTGACTAATTATTTTTATATGAGTGTATGACTATATACGTGTATCTTAAGGTAAATTGTGTTACCTATAAGCATCTCAAATGTATTTATCAAACTTTAATAATTATGTATTATGCATATAATGTACATTCGTCCCTACTCATTAATATAATGTTGCAACTGATATACTGTTTTACTTTATATGATCTACACATATTGTAAATAACTAAGTTTCAGTATTTATCTTTAAGAATATTATTTATAATATAGCAAATATTTGATGGGATAAACAATATACAAAATTAAACTTTGAAATTTGAATGAATGCTCTTATTTGACTGTAGAAGTATTGTACTAATACATATCTAACTTTCTTCCCTTTCAACTGAATAAAGTAAATATTTAAGTGAACTATATTACATAATAGTTGGTCGTTTTTTGTTTTTTTTAATCAAACCACAATAAAGAATACAATATTAAACAAATATAAATATAACGAATATTATACTAATACAGACATAGAGTATTATTATAACATAAAATATATTATGTAGGCTGATTGTATCCGTTTTGAAAGAAGCCGTTAATAATGAGTATACTCATCTTCACATTACTCATGCATGATCGATCATAAATATAATGCTGATCATAGGATTTATATAATATAGTTCACTGATAAATCAAAAAAAAGTTTCATTGCTATTTGTTGTTTGAACTCTTAATTTTAACTTTTTCTCAATTTAATACGGTAATTTCTATGCAATTATTGTCCATTCATAATTTGAACTATATAAGTACTTATGAAAAATATATTATTTTATTTTTAAAGACACCTAACATTAAGGTGTAGTTCCTATTATATTAGGTATTTGAAATTAAAACGTATAATAAATTATTCAATATGTATAAATAATGTATTGAATAATATTTCTTCCTGCAGGTAGCTGAACAATTAATAAATCCTTTTGGTGACGATGAAGAAGATTTTGAATTAAATTACTTAATCGATAGACACACAAAGGTAATTTTAACACAAAAACAATAACAATATCTCGACATCTCAGTGATATTTATTATTAGGCATAACAGAAGGGATAAATCATAATCATAACGAATTATGTTCCGTAGGCATCCTATTTGGCGGTAGATTACCTTGCTAAAATTAAACTTCCTTTGGTCAAAGACATTTACTTCAATGAGTTGGAAGTTTCGATTCCCTACACAAGCGCATCTGCACCGTTCAAAAAAAAATCGCACAGAGGATCAGTTCACCACATGCCGTAATAATTATATTACAACAGTCATTTTATAAAACAGTGTGTGTTAGCAGGGCGATTATTTCATCTATGATTTTTTTTTTTTTTTAGTGTTCCTGAAGATCAACATATGATGTTCTTACCCGAAATAATAGAAGAGGTAGACCCCGACCGTTCGAGAAGCAGAAGGACGTCGATGATTTCAAACAAGAGTGAAGGAAAAATCAACTCAAACAGCAGGGACAAATGCAATGATTCCTTTGGCATAATGCAGTAAGTTGATTTAAATAATAAACAACTTCCCTTATATTTTCTAATTAAGTTCTCTCATTATATTGTATACATTTTTAATAGAATGGTTTTTATCTAGTTATATAATATCATGTGGGTAATCTATTATATTATATATATAAAAATATAAAACATTGCAAGTGTTTGGTGTTAGCTAATTCGTGTAATTTTATTTATTTATTAAAATTAATTAGTAGGTACATTATGCATTCTTACAATTTTTAGTCGTCAGAGCACATTTAATTTTTAATTATAACTGTTTTGTTGGTTTGTTCAGAATTATGTGACTCGACACAAAAGTTTCAAGTCAAGAAAAAATAATTTAACTAATTAGATATTCAAAAACTAATTTGATATATTTCTAAACTGAAAAAAATGTTTTATAAATTATAAGTTAATTATTTTAAGTTGTATGCGTTTTATTACCTTTCCATATGAAAACTCGTTTTTTTAACCACTATAAAAACTATAATTATCAATTAAATAATAATGATATATATCAATTTAAAATTAATGTCTTGCCCATACATGTAATCAATCACTATTATAGATTGGTATCATAATATTTGTTAAGAAATAAAATCAATTTGATATCTTACCCGACTCATCAAATTACCACTCTCCTATACTGAGAAGCTTTACACTCAATTATTAATATGTAGGTATCTAACATAATTTCAATAATCCGATATTTGATTTCTTGTTTATTACACTACTGCATGCATAAAACTACTGGTCATAGGTTATAACTTATAACACATACTTAGTTTGACATTATTTACTAAGAGTTTTGGGGTGTTTTACAATTGGTATTGTTGGATTTTGGTTAGGCATAATGTACCCATACAATGCTAATAGATTCATAAGTACTAGAACTCATAATTTTCATTGTCCCTTGGACTCTTTTTGAGAGATGAAAACACTCCAATCTGAAACTAGGTTAATCTAGGATCAAGTACTTAGTACTTTGAGACGCTTTTACATTCAAATAAATGTGTCTATCGCCATTGGTTTGGTTTTTCACAACTACGCTTCAACTATTTTTATTAGAACGTAGTTTTCCTTCGAGGCCACGGGATGTACACAAATAATTGCATCATAATATCACGGTAGTATCTAAACGATCGCTGCAGGATTTGTTTTTAAGGTAAAATTAAAAATCACATTGACGTGCACTGCAACAAACTATCAAAACGTACGTTTGTGTACGCTTAGATAGTTCAGGCTTTTTGTTTCCTCCGAATTTTCGTGAAGCTGTGGCGATTATTTCGGCTTTACGCGTTTGTTCATGTCGTCATTGAGCTTTTATTTTACGTATTAAAATTAAAATTTAGGTGCCTACCTCGTGCACTCGGACACAGCCGCGACGCCGGGTTGGTGGGCGCATACATTATATACGCGTATTACATTTTCACATTAGCTTTCGCTATATTCGGTGTAGTGTTCTAGTGTATAACTACTAATGTTTTTTTGAACACACGTATGTTAATTAAAATATATGATATGGACGCACTCCAAAACACAGGTAAATTTAACTCACTCCGTTGCTATGTTTTGGGTGTCCAAGAGTTTTTAAAAAACTAAGCTCAATTTTATATTACAATAAACGCACATAATATATAGACAAGATAATACACTTATAGTTTATTTGTATATAAAATATACGAAGGTAGAAACTTAAAAAGTTATAACATGTAGTATAAAATAATATAGTCATAGTGATATTTTATCGCACGAGGCTCGGATGTTTATGATTTTTTTAATATTTTTTTCTTTTTGGCGAGCGGTTCTATTTTATGTATACCCCACTATAAAATATAACATTTTATTAATACAAATTAAATATCCACGTAGGTATTATACTATTACTTCTCATCTTTTAAAAATTGTATTAAAATAATAATTTTTGTTACATTGAAGAAACGATTTTATAAAATTAATCATAATTTATTGTAATATACCTACGCTAAAATATTTTACTTTGTGTCTATATATTTGAGAGATCACTGATTTCGTTCTCAATTCGACATTGATTTTAAGATCTACTTTGATCAATTATGAAGTCGTCCCAACTTGGGAATCCAAATCAAAAGACTTTACATTAGGTAAGTGTTACTTGAGCAAATATAATTTTTTTAACGCATTTCTCGTGTGTATATTCGTTTGAAAAAAACTGAAAATCGTTTCCGAGTAGATTCAATAGAAACAAAAAAACCCGTATGGTAAAACTTGAATACCAAGTTGTAGAATCTTGACTATCGTTTGATACCGTTATACTTTTGTATTCTAGTAATCTAATGAGTAAGGAGCACTATAGAGATTATTTAAGACGATGTGACCGATTTATTATCTATTTAGTACTTCTTTGCAGACATAATAACATTAAATCGAATAAAGATACCAGATATAGGTATATGGGTACTAAATTACTAACTTCTATTGGAAACGCACCGATATGGTTTAATAAATCTACCAGATTTCTTTTACATTGAGCCCTCTAAGGCTCTAATGGCCGTCGAAATAGTTGATATCGCGTGTGATCTCCCACTACTAATCGAGACCCGAGACTGGTGAAATGTATTCTATAACACCACTATATTATAATCACGAATTAAGATATATATATCTTAATTCGTGATTATAATAACCATAATATATCGAGTATAAAATCTATAACACGTTTTTTTTTTTTTCCGTACTGTTTCACGAGAGCGTGATTATTATTAAAATTATTATTATTATTAAAATTATTATTATTATTATTATTATTATTATTATTATTACTATAATTATTGTTAATGGATAGGCAGTGTATATAATCCCTGCAGATGACTTTCGCGTGTGTCAGTATTACCGACGAGGGTATATATATATATATATATATATTATATGTGTATAATGTATATTGTAGTTCGCATTAACGGCCGTAGGCTATGCCGATGGCTTTACATCGTTATTGGTACGAAGAAGACGACGGCGATAGCTATACACAGAGTAGTGGAGAGAGAGAAATGTCTATGTATACGTCTGTATACACGATTGTACACGCACACACATAAAAACACACCGGATCAAGTTATCCGGAGGGTATACGACGAAACAAAAACAGATTCTCGCATTGGATTATTGAGACTGTGACGTTACGGCATTTCCGAGACTGTATACACGATACGACATATAATATATATTTATATACACGTATAGAGAGAGGGGGAGATACTATATTATACTCTGTTTTGTGTGTGTTTGTGCATTATTGTATATGCCTACTTTTCGGTCAAAAGTCACGGCGTGGGTGATGGGAAATGTTTTAGAAAGATTATATTATGGTGCAGTTCGTACATATACAGGCCCCTTAGACTCACACGAATACGGCGTGTGTGTGCGTATGTGTGCGTATGTGTGTGTGTGTGTGTGTGAGTATTATATATATATATATATATATCAACAGGCCTGAACTATTAAGTATGTATGTATTGGGTACGATCGTGTTTGCCCGCAGCGAATGAAGAAAAAAAAATAAAGAACTCCGTATTTTTTCATAATAAATACTACAAAATAATATAACTGGCGAAACGTCAACAGTACCAGCTTATTTATTATATACGTACGCGGTACAGCTATTATAATTTATAATAATATTTTTGAGAATATAAAGAGCGCATTTAATTTAGTTGCATGCATCGAGCTCGCAATTAATTTTTAACCGTTAGAAAGCGGTTAAACTTGCCCCGCCGCCGTCTACGCGTATTCAATACCTATTGTATTTTCGTATACGAGCGACTTTTTTTTTACTTTCTCGAATTCTAGATTGACGTGGGTATAATTACAAACGAATTTTGAGAAAAATTCTAGTCTTGCACGATGTCATGACTCCAACTGCGCTGTGATCGAACCGTTGAGTTCTAAACCGCGGTCGAAGTGGGAAGCCGATGGTTTTTGGTGCACGATAGAACTTTCGAAGGGTGTAGTGTGTACGTGTACGTCAACATGTTGTTCAGTATAAATAGATTATTATTATTGTCTTTATTTTTTGTCACTTACCTTATTGTGTTATACTGTTACATAATTATAGCAAAATAGTAAACCCATCCAATCGTTTTATCTGCGTGTAAAATATCGATCGTGAATTTTACCTGAGCTTGCGTGTTATGGAAATATCTATAGGTATATATATTATTATAATATAATGTGCATGTGAATTTGTGGTTGGTCTGTTCAAATACAGTTATACCTATTACCTGGTGTCCCATACGTTTGTTATACCTACCATAATACATTTATATAGGTACCTAAGTTTTGAGTTTATTGTTGCATTTTTGTTTTTCACTGCCTAGTGTTGAAATAAAAATAATCGATAACCCTGGATGACCGGATGTAATAACAATTATTATTATTATTATTCAAAAAATGTATGATAAAAATAGTATATTAATTACTTACTAAAATAATTATTGAATACAATGCTCCTGTGACTGTTTTTAAGTATTTAAAAAGTCGTGATAGTTGGCGAAGGGAACCGTTTAAGGAACTAATATAATAATAAATATAAATATTACGTATTTTAAATCATTAAAGCAATAATAATGGAAATTTGAAATTTATTTCCATAGTACTAAAGTCATTATTATAATAACGTCCGTACAGCGTATGTGTTATATTTTTAACATTTAATAATAATTAATAATATGGATAAAATATAGTACCAATGACAATCAAGTACTTTATCGATTTATTTATTAGATTTAAATACATAATCATAGAGATGTTATAATTTATTTTATGTTATAACTATTACTATACAATATATTGTATCCGTCGACCGCCACAGTTGATTAAAAAATGGTCAATCATTTGAGAACCATCAAAATATTGTGAAGACTGAAAGGAACAGTGTCATCATGGGATGAAAATGTTTGAATATTTCTGTTCTATATAGAGTCTAGAATCTAGACATTATTGATGTTAAATAAATATTATTTGATTTAGTTATTGAGTAGATGCAAACATATAATTTGTCTAAATCACTACAGTATGCAGTAAGAAGGAATAATAGGATACAGTTTTAACAAAATGTCAAATTTTTTGAACAATTGAATAGTTGTTCAATCATCAATATTGCATTATGTGACCAGATAGGTGGTAATTGAAAAATGAGTTACGCTTTTTTAACTGAGTTTAATATTTGTCTCCATAATAGTATTAAAAAAATTGCAATTTTAAAATTTAGCCAATACACTATTATAGGTTAATGTTGGCTTATAACCAATGCTTGCAAACGTTATAATAACGTTATGATTATAACGTTATATTTGATAAAAAACAATTGAAATTTGTAAACGTAATTATAACGGAAAACGATAAACGTAAATAAATAAATAACACAAAACAAAACATAACGCAAAACGGTATGTATTGTATTCCATTAAACGAAATAATTAATTCCCAATTATTTAATAATACTTAGTAGTATTCAATTATTTATTCAATCCAAGAATTAATTTTATTCCGTATCCGGCCTATCCGGGAGATCCCGTATTAGATATTATTTTAAAACTTAATAAGAAGTTATTAATAGAATAATTTAATTACCAATAGCTAATAATAGTGATGCTCTGATAATATTGTACTGTACTATCTGTACTACNGGAGATCCCGTATTAGATATTATTTTAAAACTTAATAAGAAGTTATTAATAGAATAATTTAATTACCAATAGCTAATAATAGTGATGCTCTGATAATATCGTACTGTACTATCTGTACTACGGTCGAAATTTATACCACTCAAGTTATTCAACTATTGTGTTCGGTGTTCAGTTTGCTCAGATTTATTCACTCGTCAGTGTTTGTCTAATTGTTGTCAAATGTTTAATATTTATATTTTATACTAATATACTTATAGTTTTAACGTGCATACGTTTTCTTTATATTAGTTTAACCCATTTAATTAAATAAATTAAATTAAACAATACCTACTTAAAACTCAGAATAGGGAAATTATGTCCCCAAAAAAAGGTCATAGTCGTATACTTTTAAATTGCGGCCTGTGTACTTTTAAAACAGGTACCTATCTAAATACTTTTAAATTTTAAATAACGATAAACGCAAAAATTGTATAACGTTTTAATTATGAATAACGATAAACGCAAAAATTGTATAACGTTTTAATGCTGAATAACGATAAATACAAAAGTTGAATAACGTTTAAATTTTGAATAACGATAAACTCAAAATTTGTATAACGTTTTGATTGTAAATAGGTAACGTAAGACAAAATGTATTTTTCAAATGCAAGCCCTGCTTATAACTTAACGTTCTGGGATCTGTCTCAGCCCAACTAACCCAAGTCACCACTTCCTCCTCTGTACTCGTATACGTACTTATCATTGGCAGACGAGGCTTATTCGGCGCGTATGCAATAAGTAATAACAAATGATTGGTATTGATATCGGTATTGTGTGCAGGGTGGTACAGCAGCGATCAACATCAAACGGCTGCGGCGAAGTCGGAGGACAAAACTCGAACGCGCCAGCCAAACGCGGCGGCGGCGGCGGCGGCGGCGGCGGTTTCAGACAGTTGGCTCAGCGCAAGTCAGACGCCGCGCAACCGGTGGTGCTGGTGTCAATGACCCGGCGGCCGAGCTACAATTCGGGACAGTGGAAGCCGTTCAAGTGGAAATCGTCCGACTGCGGCGAACAGCGGCGCGCTTCCATCGGCGGCGGGCGCCCGGAACAGCATCAGCAGACGGACGTGGACCTGCAGAAAGCGGACCGACCGGAAACGGCGACGGTGGTCCCGGAAGGACACGTCAACGCGGCGTTCGTGCCGGACAAACAGCAACACGACGTGTGACGCTCATTACCGCGCCGGCGTATTTGAGAGGGTGCGTCGGGTTGTTTGATCCCCGATCCACGAATCCGTCTAAATCTCTGCGGACCGAAATTGAAACCACTCCCCGCCATTTAAGTAATTATTCCAATGCCGCCTACACCTTAAATTAATATAACAGTTGTTGTTCTATAGTGGTCGCATATAAATAATAACCGCGTCATCATACAACGAGTATTTTACCAACCATTTTTAAAACCAAACGAGTTTTGGAATTGGAACACGAGTGTCCATGTGTTTACCTGGTTATATAATATTTTTTTTTATAAGATAATATGATTTTAATTTATAAACAATTTTTATGACCTGATCAATTTTTACAAAAACCTTTATTGGTACACCGACTATTTGAAGTTAAAAAAAAATTCAGTATTGTCTTACCGCACTAAAAAATCCTAAGTACGTCACTGACACTAATAGTATGTTTTTAACGACTTTTTTTAAATTTTAAATTCAGATGTTTAATAAAACGAAATAAATTCCTATATATAGAAATGTTAAAAAGTGTACATTTTTATTCTCATGAAACTGTCTTAAATTAAAACTCTAGGAAATAAACCTTTTTAGACAAATCGTTAAATAGAACTCATTTATTTTAAACCTTAAATTTCATTAAAATACCAAAATATTTGACTGTGGACATTTATTTTAGGAGAAACTAGCTAAGACGTATTAGCTATGTTTTTGAATTTATTGTCCGTGATCTAATCTTCAACGTAATCACCTCGTCAGTTGTAATTGTGTACAATTATTATTTAATTTAAATGTATCGTAATGTTGCATTAAATGTATTTTTCCGCCCTCCCCCCCTTTAATATCCCTTATACACTTATCTTCCATTTACCAATTAACAGTAAAGTCTTCGAGAAAGTATGTCTAGCCGTAAGGTACCTATAAGGACTTTATTTCTCCTCACATTGGTGTTTTTGTTTTTATAACTGTATAATTAATTACATAGTTATTTAATTCTATAATTTTTGTATGTCGTTTAATGATTATATAATACCCAGATAGTTAAACATAATAATTTAGTTTCATTTTTAATTGTCATTAAGATACCTATATATTATTATATTAATAATATGTTATAATACATACGATATATGTATGGATTTTTATGGATTTCCAAATCTTAAACAACTTATGGTTAAATTCATATTCAACATTTATAACTACAAATACCTATGGTTAAAGATTTTAAATCTTGAACAATTTTATTTACTTATTCAAATTTTTAAATTTCTTAAAAATAAATGAAATTAATTGCATAGATAAAGACGATGAGACAATCAGTTATGTTATGTATTACCTACACATATAATGTAGATATATATTTTGTATTAATTTTCTTTTGTTCGTAATCATAATATTTAATATAATAGACAAAATGATATAATTATAAATAATAATATATTAGCAAAGTACAAGGTAGCAATCGAGATTATGTAGAGGGACTTAATTTCCCCACAAGAGTCTTTGACGGACCTTTTATTCCATAATGTTTGAAACCCTCGGACCCTCCCCAAACGAGTCATGACGTATTAGTCTCTAAAGAAGAAAATATATTCTATAAACTTATAAACTGAACGTTTTTTAACGTTTACTCAACATGAGTTTACAGAACAATTTTAAACGCTCGTATTAGTCGTATTATTAAACAGTTGTAAATATAGGCCTATTTATTAGATATCTAAAAATATGTCAATAATTATAGATCAGTTATATAATATATTGTATGTACTTGTGATATGTGTATGTACTGTGTATACGCCTTCGTTATTATATTATATATTTTATTGTAATATTGTACATTGAAAAATCGTCTAGGTAGCAAACCAAACGATGAAAATCAATATGTTGATTTGTATATTTCGAAAATTATATGATTTATACAGTACCATAGACTTATATTAAATTAGTAATACATCGTATTAAAGAAGAATACTATATGAAATATTTGAATAAAATGTTAATATGTTTTAATGTTCATAGTTTACCTGTTACATGTATAAAATATATATAAAATAGTTGATAATATAATATAACCATGAACACCATTATGACTTTACCTATACAGCAGACTGCATATTATACAAATGACTACTAATAGAGCTGTACGATGTTTATCGATTATTAACTGCTGCAAAATTTGAAACTGGGTTGAGTAGATCAATGGCAAATAACTGAGCAATTAGTGCTTGGGTCAAATATGTTAATCCAGATCCTTCATGTATGTACCCTCTAATTTGTAATATAATGTTTATACGGTTTTAGTTAGATACTTGCTTTACCCATTTTTAAAATAAATTTCATGGGGTATATGATTACATTTTATCATAGTATATTAAATGTTTGGGAGAAACGAGTTCCGAGAGGAAGAAATTCTTGGAACGAATTCCTTTTTATACAAAAGAACAACAAAAGAACAGGGAACAAAATGAGCTCCTTTTTTCAAGATAAAATAATGAAATTGTCCGTTCCTTTCAAGTTTCCAATTATGCAGATATGTAAATAATAGATATTAAAATATATTTTGTTCTTAGTGTGTGTATTGCCAGTTAGTGATCGTTATCTAGTATCGACGTTAACTGTTTAAACTTTCAGTCATTTTATTGATATTTCTTATATTATACGAGTAATGTAGAAATCGTTGTCGTTCGGTCAACAGAAAATAGTAAGAACATTGAACAGTACAATTATTCATGTTGCCAGTTGGGATTAAAGAAGATATTTCAACTCAATGATAACTTTTTTGCCACTGTTATACTTCGATTGGTCGGCCAAGTGCGGTCTACGAACTATAGGTACCTATAAAACCAATAGTCATCACTTCGCGGATCCGTGCCAGTTTCCCGAGGATTACATGAACTGGAACGTAGACGCAAAATAAGTAGGTATCTTATCTTATTCACAGTTAAACAGTTACTATTGGTTAGTAGTTGATTATACAAAGCATTTAGTTTAATTTAAAATTAATTTATAGGAAATATTTATAAAAACGATCACGGCGATAAATTTGATAAAAACATAAGAGCTCTTGGAGCTCACGAGGACATATATACTTTCTGACCTTAGTGGTAATAATTAATACCTAATTAAGTAATATTTATAGAAGCTTGCAGCCAACTATTATTTTAATTCTACAGCAGCTAAAGTTTAACGAGATAAGCCAATGGAAAATATACGCTAACGTGTAATTTGGCACACGTCAATATTGTATCAGTAGAATCAGTGTCTCTGCAGGTCCATGTGTAATATGTATAGTACACCTGCCTTGGGTAATTAAATAATATTGTACGAAAAAACACTCAAGCGCAACAGCAAATGCAATAGGTACCTAGATTATATGTTTTGAGGGCCCTAGCTGAGGTGGAATATAGGTACCTACCCTACTTAAGGCTATGTCAAGCCTATTAATATAGGTAAAAAATGTACTAGGTGTAGGTAGTCTATTAAATATAAATATTTGACAACAGACATGTATTTATACTCGTTATTTGATCAAACGGAAAATAGCAGGCAATCAGGTACATACTCTGCTGTACAGTAGGTTTCGAATACTCGAATGTACCTGGTCATTGAGTGGGTATACCGTAATGGATGTGTTAAATTTGAATTCAATGTTACATCGTTGCATACGAAATGCGATTCTAGTGTATGCGGGGTCTGTCAGCCATTATTACCTACTAAATATATTCTATTATTTACTTGTGTAGATCTTAAAGTTATTTATTATACATTTATACCTACTATAATATATTTATTATTATAAAATTATAAAATTATATCATAGATATTAACTTTTAAATCAATACCTACCAACTTACCTCCTGTTAAACGTTGTGAATATGTAAATGCTCATATAAACATTCTGCGGTCATTTTTTTAGTGTCAAATCAAAAACCAAAATCAATTTTGAGTAAAAAATCTCGTTTTTCCTTCATTTTTTTTCTTGGCATTTTTAGAAGTTCAATTTTGATTACCCAAAGCTCCAACTAAATTTACTTTCTTACCGGAAGAGATATTGAAGCAGAAAATCAAAGCATTATTTCAACAACTTATCGTGCATACATTCAAAACATAAATTTAAAAAAACACACTCACACATCATTGTAACATCAATACATTTATCACTCTGCTTAGGATTAAAAAAATGTTAAAATGTATTTTAACATTTAATACATTTTTAAACTTTATGCAGGCACTAATTTATAAATGTTCATCATTTTGACAAATTTTGTCCAAAAAAATTATTAATTATTACCTACCTATAAATATGAAGAACTATGATGGTTAGATTTAATATAATAACATAGTGTTATGTGTATTATGTTTTGTGAACAGATCAACTGGTTAGTGGTTACTGGTTAGCCGTTACACTATAGAATTATTGACTTTATAAGTATAGAAATCGTTTTTATTAATATTACGGTTAGTACAAATAATGTATTATTATCACGAACTATGGAAGACCGAAATCTAGTGGCCACACATTGATTTACTCTGCACTGCTGCAGAAAACAGAAATATTGTGATTTGTGAGATACCGGAAAATATTTAACTTACGACAGTGGCGTAGCGAAATAGCCTATCTTATACGCCGTTTAATCATAAATGTAGAAGTTAAATAATTGCATTTATAAAAATATTGTAAGTATTTATGATCTCAGAAAAATGGTATTAATAAAATATTATTATTCGGAGTTTATTACCTACATCCTACAACATTACAACTGATACCTTCAAAATATTATAAACTATTCATGGTTATTGCATTTTACGTCCAAAATGTCTACTTTCTATTTTCTATAGTAGAAATATACTAATAATACTTTTTTCAATATATTTGATATTAATAGAATTTTTTGACTCATGCCAAATTACATTTTTGATGACACTTCTAGCTTCTCTAGTCCTCTGTATTAATATATGGGTAACGATTTTCGTGTCTTAAATAATGTAATCTTTTACAAATGGTCAGGATTTTTCAGAGAAAGTAATACTCTTTGTATTAAACAAAGTGTTAAAAACATTACGCCACTGCCTATCTGAATACCTTACATTCGAAACAGAGACGAGAAGCTGGAATATTCAACATTCTGTCAAAAGCACTTCACCCGGACATTTTAAAATGTAAAGTAACTAATCATTGAAAATTATCTGTGATACTGGAAAAATATTAAATATACCTCTGTAAAATTGGGCTGTTTTGGAATCGAATTACAACAAAATGATAACCATTATTCTTTGTGTTGATATGCAATTTTGTCCAAATTTGAACTTAAAATGTCTGTAAAAAATAACTGTATTCATATATTTTTTAGATTTATTATTTATGAAAAAAACTGCTTAAGGGGCACCTTGTTTTAAATTCTCAATCCTTAGCTATAAAAATTGAACATTTTATATATTTTTAACTACAAAATCATTTTCAATTTTCAACTTCATAAGTATCGTCAACATTTGAACTTTAAACGCTTATAAAAAAAAATCAAGTCAATGTATTTTTCAACTTCCTACTATTGGAACACAAGTTATCAAAAGTTTTGCATTACATTTTCATGCTTTTTGGCCCAACCAATACAATTGTATTGACATTTATAGAAAAAAATGGGGGGGAAAGGCAAATGGAAATGTCCGCCAACAGCCTAATACGAGTCAGAATAATTCAAAAATGTTATCAGTATATGAATTGATGAAATGAGACATTTGGTGTAAATTTTAAGTGTCTGCAGTAATTCGTTTTTGAATTGCAATTAAATAAGAAAATCACTACAAAAGAAATCGAGTGAATATCGAATGTTGTAGAATTTTGCGAATTTTTACAAAATATTTAAATTCAAGTTTTCCACAGTAAAAAAAAATGTTTGACAGTCCAAGGCCCAGCGTTATAAACCTACCACAACATATTTTTTTTGTCCAACACATTTCATTAATATCAACTGTTTCTAATATACATGATATTTAATACCTATAGTACCATAATGCTACTAATAGCAAATAATATTTAATGAATGTACTGATATTTTTTTTTTTAATTTTGAATAATTTTTCTTGTATATTTCATCATTTTAATTTTTATACTTCCAAATCCTATTTATCATTGATCACAGCAGTCACAAAAACATAAGTTTAATAACATACATACATTTTATTTGAAAAATATTGGATTTTTAAAAACTATATATAAAAACATAATTAATTCATTTGTAGAATTCATCAGACTTTAATAATAAAAAAAAATCAACGAGACAACTGTATTCCTATAATAACCAACCAGAGCGTAATAAAATAGTGTGTCTATAATTTAACCATAAAAGTTAAAATAAAAAAAATCATAATAATAAAAGACAAATATTTTGTAATAATCTAAAATGAAATGCGACAGCTAACAGGTGAAATAAAATAAAATATAATTATTTCGAGTGCAGTCACCCATATAAAAAAAATGATGTTATATTTCAAAATAATTAAAAATTTCAAATATTTTTATAACCAATGCGTAATTTGTAACCAATTACCATCACTCTATTCACAACAAATTTTTCTAATTTCAATTTAATTTGCTCAATATTATTACATATATAAACATATTATATGAGTGCGTATACACTGTAAAAAAACTCTCATATTTACATCATACAATAACATTTTTAATTAGATAAAAATAAAATTTTGAAAGTCGAGTAATTATTCATTTGATTATGGCTGAAGTATAGTACTAAAAAACTATTTCAATGATATACATACATTTATTCTCTAATTACAAGTATTATCTGGTTTGTAATACAATTAACACATTATTATGCCATTAAACATTAAATTAACAACCAGATATAAATTATAAAATTTAATATAAACAAACATTATTGTTAAATATAAATTTGTCGGACCAATATTGATCAGCATCATATAGTGATGAACATCACTATTTACACTTAACAATTTAGTTCAGTATACTATCAAAACTGTAATAATACTAGAGCTACAGACATAGCCAGTGGATTCAAAATTGGGTGTACCAAGGTTACAGTAGGAAAAATATTAATATCAATAAGATGGAAAAAAAATAAATTAAAAAATAATTATTTTTAATTGAATCTCTTGTACTTTTTATGTGAAACTTCAAAGATTCTTTCAGATTGTTTTAAAAACTAAATAGTATTTATTCTATAAAATATAAAGGAATTGCTTCTTTTTTTCTATCATAATTAAACAATTAGTACTTCAGTAGTATGGGATTCAATTGATATCACAGTTTTGCTAGTTAAATAGTAAACCTATAGCAAAACATTAGATCTTGTTCCAACCAATACATTATTAACCCATGTAAGGATATTTCCATTCAGTCAGTGGTACAAATGTTTCTTTAACAGATTGAGGTGATGTCCATCGCAGAACATAATGAGGACCACCAGCTTTGTCATTTGTACCTAGAAAAAATTTTTTTTTTTGTAATAAGAAATTATAAAATGTTTGAAAATAAAACTATAAATTAGAAATCAATATTATTTTATATAGTTGTAATCATAAGTTTAAAATTAATTTATATTATTCAATCAGTATAAATGCTATGCTAGTGTATAGTTAGTGAACAATTAATATTGTACCATTATACATTAGATCCATACTTGAAAAATAGAAATAAAACTTAAAATTTTGAATGATACAACTAAACAATTATAATAATATAATTAATTTTTGTAACAAGTGTTGATAATGATGACAAGAATTATTCTCATTTAATTTTCTATTGCCACTTGTTATCTAGATTTCACATTGTGTAGATTTGATATTAGATTTAAAAAAACTTTGGTAGTATGTTAGAAAGTTGCTTTTTAAGAAAGTCTTCAAATTTAATTTAAAAACACAGATTTTAGTGTACATTTTGTAAAATTCTGTACAAAAAATGAAAATCACATTAAAATTGCAAAAAATGTAAGAAAACCTACTTTTCTGATTCCAAAATACATGAAAACATTTATCTTGTAAAACGAGCATCGCCCGATGAGTTTTGAAAAACAATGCAGTGCATCAAAATAGCAGCTCTAAATAAAAATGTAACTATCCACTTATAACCACACATATTTATAATGACTTATTACTAACAAGTTAATAATCCATTGTTAAATTCAAATATTAATTCAAATTACCTGACATTCTGCTTCCACCAAATGGTTGTTGTCCCACTACGGAACCTGTAGACTTATCATTAAGGTAAAAATTACCAGCTGAGTACTTTAATGTTTCAAGAGATTTTTTTAAAAAGTTTCTGTAATGATAAAAAACCAATAAATAACTACACAATATTTTTTTATTTGAATTCCTTACTTGTCCTGAGCAAAAACAGCTCCAGTCAATGCATAAGGTGTAGAACTAAGGACGAGATCAACTGTTTTATCAACTTCTGAATCTTTGTAAACATAAACAGTCAAGAGGGGCCCAAAGATTTCTTCAGTCATAATTTTATCTAATGGATCTTTAGTCTCAACTATAGTTGGCTGCACAAAATATCCTTTACTAAATCGAAAACATTTCATATTATTACATACAAAGATAAAATATTGAAGTTTAAAAATATTATATTTAATTACCTGTTGTCATACTGTCCTCCACCAATTATTTCTAAATTGGGAGACTTCTTGGCATGTTCAATATATCCAGCAATACGATTAAATGCTTTATCATCAATAACTGCTGAAGCAAATGAATCAAATTCATTAACATCCCCAATTTTCAACTTATTACGGAGTTCCAGAAGTCCTTCTTTAATCTATTTATGAAAAACACAATTAAAATTTAAAAATACAAGAGTTACCATAAACAACAATATTACTTTAGGCCATAAAGATTGAGGAACATATATTCTGGAACAGGCAGAACACTTCTGACCACAATATTCGAATGAAGATCGAATAGTTCCGGTAACAACAGATGTCACATCAGCTGTCGGATGTACAAAATGATAATTCTTTCCTCCACACTCTCCGATTAATCTTGGAAAGTTAACATAGCCATTAATATTTTTTCCAACTTGGGTCCATAGTCGATTAAATGTCCTAAGAAAAAAAAAAAAAAAATTAAATACATATGAAATTAACATCATAAATAAATGAAACAAACAAATTTCATAATCCAAATTATATCGGTCACTAATAATCTGTCAACTACCTATATGAAATAAAAAGCTTTAAGTTTAAAAAATTTAGACCATGAATATTTATACAAAAATCATCTTATTTAAACATATTATTATTATTATCATAGAAGTATTTTAGGTTTTTTTTTAATGGTAACCTATGATTTGAAATTTTATAAATTAGAGTAGAATAATTTTAATATACTTTTAAATACTTAAATATTTTGTGTGCGTGCGAATGTGTGAGGAACTTTATAAGATCTCAAAACTATTATACTTTGTCCAATAAGAGAGTACAACCCAGAGGTGACCAAAACTCGTCTATTGCTACATATTCCAATCACTTAACTAGCGTGAAAGGTGCCTATCAAATACAGCCGTAACATGGGAGACTTTAGACCTCGAGACAGCAGGTTGAGTTAATTTGGATGTGCATGAGTATTGTGTTCTCTTGGTAGACAGAGTATAGGCGTTATTCATTAATTAGTCATTACCTAAGTATTATACAAAATAACAAACATGAGATAGTCTGTTATTGAATCAAACGATTATAAATGTTGAGATGGTTGTTTCTACAAGTAAACAGAAACTTAGCAACCATTTTCTGTCCATTTATGATTTTTTTTTTTCAAAGTATATAATTTAATGAGATATCTTAATACCCAATAATTGAAACTAGGCTAAGGGATGAGATAATTATTTTTATTGAGTTAGTTAAGAAACAAATAAACGTGTTTATAATAAATTGAATTATAAATTTTTATTTAACTCATATGTAGGCCATACTGTATGCCTTAACAATTAATATAATGGTTGAATTAAACCCTATAACATAAACTGTATATATAACATTTCTTACGGAACAGATCCAGTAAAGTTGATACCCGATAAATGTGGGGATGCAGTAATGGTGTCACCAAATACAGGACCATCAGCTGGGATAAAATTAACTACACCCGGTGGAACTCCAGCTTCAGTCATTATTTCATAAATCACCCAGTTTGATAATAAAGCTGTATCTGAAGGTTTCCATAAAACAGAACAACCCTAAAAAATTAAATTACAAATAAAATAGGTACAATGAGAAAAATTATTTGGAAATCAATTATTATTACCATTAAAGCAGGAGTGTATGCTAAATTTCCACCAATTGCAGTAAAATTAAAAGGAGACACAGCAGCAACAAAACCATCGAGGCCTCTATAGCGCAAACTATTTAATGTGACATTTTTATTTTCACTAATTGGTTGATATTTTGTCAATTCCTTAGCAAAAAATGCATTTAATCTATAATTTAAATTAATATTAGTTCAATAGTTTCAAACAATTATATTCACACTGTTAACAAACTTGATAAAATCTATTAATTCAGCAGATGCATCAATTTCAGCTTGTATAACTGTTTTTGACTGACCAAGCATAGTAGCTGCATTCAATTTCATTCTATATTTTGTTGCCATCAAGTCAGCAGCCTTAAGCCAAATGCTTATTTTTTCTTCCAAAGGCACATTATCCCATTTTATTTGAGCTTCAGTAGCAACTTTAATTGCCTTTGCTACTAAGTCCTTTTGAGCATATAAAAAACTTAATAAAACTGGTTATTGATATTTTAATAGTAAATAAAAATACTAACTGATGATGCATAGTAAAATTTTGCGATTTTCTTGCTGTGATTGTGTGGCTAAAACAAAATGTAATGTCATTAGAATATGCATATCAAAAATATAATATTTTTTTAATCCACCCCATCAACTATACATCTTTGTGAAGCTAAGTTAAAGAAGAGGAGATATTAACTACTTATGAGTGCTAAATCCAAATATATACCAGAATAAATAACAGATACAAATGATTAAATAAAAACATTTCAGATAAAAAAATTATGTGGTTAAAAATAATACTTAAAAAGTCAAATGTTAACATATTTATTTTATAGTTTTTAAAATGAATCAAGTATTTGTTTAAGAGTTTTCAAATATAAATAAATATATTTATTTGTTATACAGTATATTTTAATCGTATCTATTATTAAAATAATTAAATACATGGGTATCCAATAAATAAATATAAGTTTATATAACTATACAATCACATCAAAATGTCTTACCATAACTTGATATCTAACATCTTTTGTCTTGAATTTTTCATTACCAATGATAATAGGTACATCTTCCACATTATTAGACAAACGTTTTAATTCAGCTTCGATTTCTTTGCGTTCTTTGCTGCCAGGCAAGTATTCTGGATAAATATTAATATGGTGTTACAAAGAAGTTATTAGTATTACTTAACTAAAAACAAATATCTTTTTAAAATTTGAAACTTTGAATTACTAAAAATAACTTTTTATTTTAAAGGCAAAAATTAAAAAATTATATGAGCTACAATATTAAAAATATATTTGTAGACATTACCTTATTTTATTCAATAAATTTAGAGTTTAATGTTACCTATATTATTATAAAATAATTGAATAATTAATTACTTTACCAGTTGTATATAACTGATAATTATGAGAACTTCAAAAAGCTGATTAATTATTACTATATATTTCTTAGATAAACTTCTTAATTTTATAGTACTTTGACCTTAAATAAAAAACCGCTTAACAATATAATTGTAATTGACTGATAAATATGTTTTTCTAATAAATCCAAAAGTTAGTCCAGTGTATTATACTTTAATATACATATTATTTTACTTTACACAACACATAAATATTTGTGTTAATTGCATAGATAATATTTATTATCAAGAAGAAAGTTATTACCTAATATAACTCACATTTGCTTACCTAAAAGTGGTTCATTTTCTACAGTGAAGTCTTTAATTTTAGGCAGTGAAAGGGATCCAATGCTTCGACAACATAAGCTAAAAATTAAATAATGAATTATTACATCCAAAGTATAAATATTATAAACATTTATATAAAAATGTAGGTAGATAAGATATTTGATTGTCCCATTTGTTCAACTATATCTTACAACTTGATATACAAGACGTGGTAGTTAAAATTTCATAGATATTTGATTTGGTATAGAATTTTAAATCTATTCATATTTTAGTCTATTTTGGTCAACGTTAATAATGTCTTCAGTTAAAAATACTGGTCAAGGTTAATAATGTGTCAACTAGTATGTATTCATACATGTCTTAAATATATATTTAAAATGAGTGAACACCCACTAAAATAATTTTAATACATAATATTGTTTTATTTTAACTATTTATAAAACAATCCTATCGTATTAATTATATTTAACACATTTATCAAAATGAAACAGTCGAGGTTAAGTATAATTGTAGAATATGGGATCCATAGAAGTCTTGATTTTTATTTACAGTTTTAGAATTGGAAAGTTTGCCAGTATTCAAACATTCTATTTTACATACTAATTATACCTCAAATCTAAACAAATCTTAGGTAATATAATAAAAGTTATACTTTTTAGGTATATGCATTTATATATGTGCTTGTTTTCATTTTTTAATGCATAAAACAATTTTTTTATTTGAATTGATTCCTTCCTAAATGTGGCATTAAATTTATTTATTAATTTATGAATTGTTTTCAACTCAGATACTAAAACAAGTTTAATAATTGAATACACATTTAAGAAGCATAATAACAAATTTAATTGTGTATCAACCAGTTAAAAAAATCATGTTTTATTATCTTAATTATTTATTTACATAACAGTAGGTAGTGGTTATGTAGCTTATTGCAAAATAAATTTTAAAGCCATGACCCTAGGCAACATTGATTCTCAAGCACTCTCAACTCTCACACTTTAACTCTTTAAATAAACAATAGTAATCACTTGTAGTTGGAAAAATATTTTTTTTTATAAATTTCCTTTAAATTTGAATGTTTTTTGTACTTAAAATGTTACACAATAGGTAAAACAATTTGACACAACAATGTAATAAATATTGAAAACAGCCCTGAATACATTCGTTTTTAAATCAATAAGTCGTTTTTGAAAGTAATTGTTTTAAATAGGTATAGGTACAAAATACATCTCCTCATACCATGCAATAGAATAATGGATTTGTGTGAAACATAGGAGTATATCTCGGTTTCTAATCAAACCTTAGACCATCGGTAACTCAAAAACCCAGCTTAAATACCCAATTCAGTCATAGGAATACTCTCCCTCCCCCCCCCCAAAAAAAAAAAAAAAATGCGTGTAAGTATTATATTTGAAAGATTTTTTACCTTTGAAATCCTTTGAGAGTGGCAGATGAGAAACGATTGGCGTTCGACAACATCGTGATGTAGGTAAGTGTCGTTCGTTCAACAGCGTACAATCTGATTGTCAACAAAACGGAATGATAATAATAGACGTTATATTGGGCAGTAAATTTTAAAACAAAAAAAAAAAAAAAATAGATTATTTCCCAGAGGAAGGAAATTGGCGATATATGGACCTAATAACAAACTACCTTTAAACAATAGACGATACAAAGTAATACGAAAACAATGATCGAACGGCCGACAACGTTTACCGTAAAATGTGCATCAAATGTCGCGTACAGTGTGCTGCACTTGCATTGCACCACAACTGCGGTGTGCGGAAACAATTTAGTAGGTATGTTACTATGTTCCAAGCGGCGGTGTCACTGTGTCAGTTCTCGGTAGGCACGGTCTCAAAAACGGGAGGGGGTAAGGAAATTAAAAAAAAATTCTGTCGGACGTCGAGTAAAAAAATGAAAACACGGGTACGTGCTACGTGCAGCTGATGGAACCGTCGTCCGTCGACAATTCGACAAAAACATGATTTTAATAACGACAATGAAGCGTCGCAATTCGCGATTAATTTCTATGCGTGATTATTAATTACTATTGAAACGGCAAATATTATGCAGATCATTGAATTGCCGACTTTCCCTCCTCGTCGCCTACGATTACTACTACTACCGTCTACCACTACTAAATAATATGAAATAATAACAAGTAATAATAGAATTAAGTACTATCCATTAATTTTCAATTATTAATTCTATTATTATGTGTTAGTCTATTATTACTATGATATATTTTTGTACGACGACGCACGACAGCGTACGACGACCTCTCTGACTCACAGCCAACGCGATATTGAAACTGGGACGGGAGTACAAGACAAGCGATTTATGGCAACAACGGTCGACGGAGGCACCACCGCGAATTCGAATCGGCGGCCGCGGTCTCACGAGTTCAGACGTCAAGTGTGTACAACACTATGTAGTGCACTACTCGAGACACTGAGTTTGAGAGAGACACAATTACATTAAACACCAGTACGGCAGCACCGCCAGTCACCACTCGGTACTCGGTATACAGTTGTAGGTAACTAATCACTAGTCACTACTCACCAGTCACCACCTAACCATCACCGTGACATAGCGATGCGACGGCGGCGGCGGTGGTGTCGTGTCCCTCGCTTGGAGAAACGACGCTGGCGCGCGGTTGGTCGATTGCCAAAATGAAAAAACAAAAATTACCACAGGGCACGGACGCGGATCCGTAAGTGCTGCCAACGTAAAAGCGCTGCGACAGTAATATTGTCAAGCCGGGCGTTTCGAAATCAAAAAACGAGATGGAGCCAATACCACCCCCTCCCACCGCCCCCACCGCCAACACGAACAATTATTCAGCCGTCACCAGAATCCAGGTCACCTATCGGCTACCAAAGTACCGAGAGTCCCGGCTAGACATATACTTAATAATATGTATGCGGTATGGACAATGGACTGTGTACTGTCAAATTAAAATAACGGTCGCAGTTACATGACCGCTCAATTGCTCATAGCCCCATATTTTAGTCAAATGTTAATAGATGATTATTAGTATTTATTGCTTACTAGTTAAACGTCAAAAATCGCCGTTTATTACGCTGTCCACTCAATTGTTCACTGATCAGTAACACCGTAACGTCCTGCAACAGTCGGTAAACACTCGTACGGCGTGACCTAAGCCTGCGGCCTGCCCCTTTGAAAATGATTGCAAATCCTCAACTACTAAAAATGTTATTCTAAATGTTTTACCTAATTAGCAACATTTAAATAAACTCTAACAGTCTTATACATGGTTGAAATATACAGGGTTGCAGTATGAACTACTTGTCTACTTATGAGGAATCTTGTTTTACATTTTCAACCATTAGCTATGAATATTTACCCAAGTACAAAATAATTTGCAAAATTTCGTGATTTCGATGAGGTTTTTTCAAAATTTGAACTTGAATTAATTGCTTATAAAAATAAACTTTTAACATTTTTAACTTGATATAATAACAACTTATGGCCTTAAATTATAATTTCAAGCCTTTTAACCCAGCGCAAACTCTTCACTGGCATTTAAAATAAAACTAAAAAAAAAAATGTAAAATGTCTAAGATATTAAAATACTTTTCGTTTTTTTTTTTTTATTATAAGAAAATTTACAATCTGTATTTACATGATACAATAAGTAAAATGAATAATTGATATATCCTATTTACATAATTAAAATACACATGTGGCACATGATGAGGGAAATCATCCAGCGATGGTACCCTCTAGATTAAAATACTAAAAATCGACCAAGGAGAAACAGTTGATCCATAATAGTTGAAATAGTGAATTTAAAATATCTAATTTCGAAAAAAATTGAACTTTAAAACATGAACAATGTATTCAACTTTCTGTAAAACTTTTTCTTTTTCTTTCAGGTGGAAAAACTAATGAGGATTCTTATTTAGTCGAAAATTGGGGATGTCTATAAATAGCATAAAAAGAATCAAAATATTTATAATTTATAGAAAACCTTATTGTAAATATTTGCTTTGATTTAAATAAAAAAATAAAATGAAATTTGTCTTATACTGGTATTAAGTAAAAATTTCAGTTTTATCTAAATTGTTTTTATTTTTTTCTAAAATTACCTATTACTGTCTAACCTTCTAGATATATTTTATTTTTGACATTCCCTTAGTACCAACTAGATCAAATTTTCTACCAGAAACCAACCTAGAAGTTAAAAATCAAAGCATTTTTTCTGCCCTGAAGGGAGATAGATGACAAAAAAAACATAATTTTAATATCAATACATTCATCACTCCTATAAGAATCTAAAATTAATACGTCAAATATTGTAAAATTAAACAGATTTAAAAAAAATAATTATAAAAACAGACTCAGTATTTATTATTATCTATAGTTAGGTAAATTCTTCTTTGAAATGTATCATTCATTCATATTTTTATTTCAAACTGATGTATTATGCTATTATGGCATTGTGTGACTGCTGACAACATATTTTTATCATTTTTTTTTTTGCATATATTTGAGCTCTGTGACCTGTGTTCTGTTTCCCCAATGGCAATTCTAAAGGATTATTTTATGTGTGTAATACAATATTTGATAACATTCTATAATAATTTTTTTCTTTTAAAAATGGTTGTTTTAATAAAAAATATTATTTATTTTGTAACTAATTTATAAAAATAAAGGAGCTTAAAAAAAAAATTATTCTTTGATAACACAAGTTATTGTAACAAAAATTAACAAGAATTTATTATAGCCCACTGATTGAATAATGGTGATTTGTATTATTTTTCTGATAAATGTTTGTAAGTGGGTCCTCAGAAACATATATTTATTTGAGAATAGCCACAACTGTTTTTACTAACAATAGATTGTTGTATCTACTTAATAGTACTTACTACTTAGTATTTAGTTATAAGTTATAACTAAAGCAAGGATTTTGGTAACGATTGCATTTTTTTCTTTAAGTGCTATACAGTTCTAACCAAAAACTAAATTTGTTTCAGCAATTTAGAATGTGTAATTTTTATTTTGCGTTTTTATGTTAAACGCATTTTATTGCCTTTTTAAGCCCAATTTTACAATTTGTGTAATTAAACTAATTTTTGTTTAAGTTTTTTTAATATGTGTTATATAGGTAATCTCAATTAGTACTTTTGAACTTACATCAACAACATACCATAATATTATTGCTGTTATACCCGTTTTTTAAAGTCACCTGTCAGCGAATAGGGAAAATAATTTAAAAGTGATATATATTTCGGCGAACTGAGTTGGCAGTGAATTGGGGTTTGGCAAAGTGGATATGAATCGAAAAAAGTAATATAATTAATTAAACTCACAAGTCAACTCAAATTTGAATATATTTGTTTAATTAACTTCTTAAAACAAATTTTCACCTTTTTTGTATAATATATAAAAAATTAATATATAAATATTAAGAATTAATAATATTTATTTTAAAATTAAATTTTTTTTGCTCATCCAAGTACATTTTTGGTCAGTTTTTTAGAGTTTTAAGGTCATTTTAGCATTTTTGTGTATTTTTTAGATTTAGGTCATTAAAATCCTAGCTCTAGTTATAACTTATAAGCAACATTTGGAAAAACCGTTTACGTTCAAAATTTACTAACAATATATGAACCTCACTAGCTTACCAATATCAAATAGAAGATAAACAAAATTCATATTTTTAAGAATCATAAGCAATATTTGATTGTTCAAATGTAATTCTTTTTTAATAGTTTCATTTATCATGTTATTGTATGGTGTATGCACAATGCACATATTGAAGTATTTATATTATTATGATATTTAAGATATGGATTCTTTTTTATGTTTATATATCTTTAAAAGTATGGGCTTAAACAACTTTTAAAGCTACTAGCCACTATACATTTTATGGATGTTAAGACTTGTTATATAATTTATAATTTAAAATCATAATATTTTTACAGCTGATAAACTGATTTTTTATTAAATAGTTATATAAGATTTAATTATTACATACACAAAAAAAACTGTTTAAAAATGATAACTCACTAACATTTGATTTACAGATTTATAAAATAATAATTTAAGTGAATGACCAGACAAACATGTTCATGTTTTTAAGAACGTGAATAATATAATACATTTCTTTTAAAAAAAAGTGAATGTGAATGTCAAACAAATTAAAATTTTCAAGTGAACTGTCCGAATACTGTTTTTAAATTACCCATAGTAAATAACTACACTAAAACATTGAGTAACGAGAGGAACTTCTCAAACAAACTTAAGTAAAAACATGCTTAGCTTTTTGAAGCTGATAAAATATAAATGTATAATATAAAATGCACATTATATGGCAATATTTATAACATGTGTACTATGTACATCTAAATATAATTGTAATTAAAATGCATAGACACCATTTAACTCTGATGGTATTTATTATTTTTGTGAAAAACAATAGAATGTTTATTTACAATAAATTATCCTTCTATACAATTTATGATTAAACAAAACAGTAATGCAAAATGTTTCCTTCACAATAGAATTCTAAGCTGTTCATCTTTTGGTACTTTATTAAGCAATAAGCGACCATCATAACTTAAAGAAGCTAATATCCATGAATCTGCTGAGGACCATTCAACACAATACACAGAATCTTCGTGTTGATCACACGTTGCTACTATTTTATCTTCTATGAAATTTTTAGTTTTTATATCTTCGTTTTCAACAGCTGATGACGAAATTCCTGGTAAACATGTAATAAGGACTTGACCATCACTTGAAGCTGTTCCAACTAATTCATCATGTACTGGATTATATCTAAAAAAAATAAGGTGGTTGTTTAAGTTAAACACAAAAATAAGGTAATTTTTCATTTAATTTAATAAAGAATAATTCTGGATCAAAAATCTAATAAACATGCATTTAGGTTTTTAAATTAAAGTTAAATTTGAAATATATTTTTTATTTTTACTAATTGATCAATATTCTCAGAATTTTGTGAAATATTAATAAAAAAAAAAGATTTTTTGGTGGAATGAACTTTAATTTTTACCATTTATATTACATGAAATTATCTAGGTAAGGTTTTGTACAACCTTTAATATATAGTTTGATATGCACTGTAAATAAATTATCATTACAACATTTATTTAGTACTTCATAAAATTAAAATATTCTGATAAAGAAAAAAACCCTACTAAAATACTTTTTAAGGGCCATTGGTATGATAAAATATAAAATCAGAAATCAGAAATACTATCCAATTACAAAGTAGTCGTAGTGTAAAAAATAGTATACATTTTGAGAAAAGTATGTTTCTACTAAATAGTAATTAATTTGGTGAATTTTACTACAATACTATAATTATGTTTTATTACCTAATAGACCAAATCCAATGAGAATGATCAGCACGGGATACTAGTGGTTGTTTGGGATTACGTATATCCCAGAACTTAGAATATCCATCATCACCGCATGTTGCCATATAATATTGACGATTTGGATTAAAATCAAAATCTCTGAAATTATTTTAATATTGTTATTGTAAGAACACATTACTTTTTTAACATTTGAGATCATAAGACAACTAAATATTTATAAAATGTACAATTTTTTTTTTAATATTACTAAAAAATAATCTTTATTTTGTATACTATTAAACTATTAAAAAAATACAAACATAAATAATGAGTCTTGTACATTATGTTTTAGTTTTCTTAATCTGAACTAAAAATGTATTATTTAAAAATATCATAATTCTTAAGTTAGTTGATCAAACCAATATTATACCTAATAATTTGAGAATGAACGCCATCTAGACTCCATGCAATTTTTGTCTGGGTTCTTAAATCCCACGCTTTTATATTACAATCATCAGCAGTTACAAACTGTAAATTAGCACTTTGTGGATTCCATTTTCCAGTAGTAAATCTTGGTTGACCTAACAAATAGAATACAATCAATGTATTAATTAACTAAATGTAACTAAATTAATAGTTAATCAAACTTAAATTGTAAGTCTTGATGTACCTAGCACATAACCAGATAAAAATATGTTAGTTGAATACAAATTTAAACTTTAATTTTAACAATATTTTTGCCTCCAAGTAAAATACAAAATGTCATACCTTTACCATCCAATACTGCAGTACATACAATTTTTACCCCACTTTCACCTACATCCCACATCACTATATTATTATCGATAACAGAACACATGTATGCATCATTTGTAGGATGAAATGTGGTCACCTAAATTAAATAAAATTTAAGATTCTAAAATCAAAAAATTAAACTATTATAAATACCTTAACATCAGTACCATACTTTTCTGAAGGAAAAGTGATGACATTTTCTAAATGACCGTCTTCTTCTGGCAGTCGCCATAAAGCTGTACACTTCTCACAATCTCGTTCTATACTAGCATAACAAGTAGATATCAAACATTTGTCTGTAGGAGAAGACGATAATGACCATATTTCACCACTGCTATGCTCATATATCTAAAATATAATTATTTGATGTAATAATAACTTAAATCATGAGTCACATACTGTCTAGATAAAATAGTTAACCATACTTTATACAAATTTGGAATAGGTAATGAAAAGACAAAACTCAATTAAAATTATAGTTTGGAAATTTATTAAAGGTAATTATTATGAAATTAAAATATATTTATTTAATTTCTAACTACATACAAAATAATGCAACTCATACACAGTTATTGTTGATCAATTTAATTTTGAATTTTTACACTATATATGGGAAAACAAAAAATGGTAACAATATTTTGTCAATACATACTTGAGGACAAAGTGTATTGGTTTCTTCCTGTAGTTTAACGAGGTGGACTTGATTGTTAGACGTGATTAATGACTGAGTTCCGATTAAGAAACAGTCTTGATCGTTATCAGCGTGCAGAGAACACAATGATCTGGCCTAAAACGTGAACAGATTTAATAAAAACATTGCACATATCCCACCAATGTATAAGATATAACTATGCTTGTATTATTATCTAAGTAGTAAGTACCTGAAATTCAACTCCATAAATTAAAGGATTGTTGGACATGGTGTTATTCGACATTTCTTACTTGTATTCAATTTCAATTTTTTTTAAGCTAGAAAATTAATAAATGTCATCTAACATCTGCACGAACATCTCACTCTCTAGGAAAGTATTAAGTAGTAAGTACTAATTAGGAATTTAATATATAGAGTATTAACTTGAATTGTAACTATTATTTATTATTATAAATACTATTTCTACCAGTATTATTTAATCTACGATTTCTACTTTTTGTACCTAATAATTAGAAATAATTACTATATTCATATTTATTCAATATTGGCATTTGGCATATTTACTCTATGCTAATTTTTGTTCTGATAATATGTTATCTGTGTAAAATATTAGACTGATAAAAAACGATATCACAGATAATGATTATATATAAACAATATTGTTGTGCATCCCACAGATATCAGTTATATTATTGTTCTGTGGTTATAATTCATCATCGTTCATTATAGATGGAAACATAAATTTAGCTGAACAGTAAACAGTTTGACGAATAGGAAAGCTAATAAAAATTGGTATTCCGTATTTCTGTGGTAAAACCGCTGTACGAATCTAAAACGTTTTTTTTGTAAATTTTACCATTTTTTTTAAATCATTAAAAAATGGCGACGGCGTCGGTCTCCGTAGAATTTCAAAACCTCACATTGTCTGAATGCTTCGACCAAGGACTGTCGTCTTACGAGAGTATTTGTGATTCTACAGAGCCGGCCAAGGAATCTGGAACGCAGGTTTGTGTGATCCCATTACTGTTTTTATGATGACTTTACTCTCTGTTTTCAGTACAGGATAATAAAATGCATGAAAATATTGGAGCACACAACACAACTCGTATCCGCGGCGGGCATGTTCAGCGACAACGAGACCATTGAAGAGGTACCGACGGCCGATGTCAAATACATGTTACTGCCATTCATGTTGGGGTCTCTGGCTCTGAAACTCACAAACAATGGCAACAGATTGGATGTCGTCAAAACAGCGGAAGTATATTTCAGAGATTATCTTCAGAGGTATGTATCAAAAGTGCGTTTGATCATTTTGATGTTTATGAGTTTTCACGTGACTACATTAATTTTGGTGTGTTGTAGGTGTAAAGATTATGGACTGACCGACCATACAATACCACCTGTGTACACAGACTCTGAAGAAACCACTACTCAGGCCACTATGGACTTTTCTCTCATGGCTCGTAGGCGTGCAGAAAAAATTAAGAGTTACAAGGAACAAAAGTTAATGGAGTCTCAGTTACAGTTGTTGAAGGAGCAGAATGAACGCGAGTCTGTTGATGACGAAATGAAAAGAAAATACATAATCTCTTTACTAAAATAAAATATTGGCAAGGCTTTGGAAGAATTAGATTCGCTTCAGGCAGAAATGAGAATTTTACACTATAAATTGAAACATGAGGATAAAGACAACCCTGAAAATGCAAAATCTCAAAAGCTCAAACCTAAACCGTTAATGCCTATTATTATCACAAAAAATGAGTTACAAAAACAAGTATTTGGTGCTGGCTATCCGAGTTTGCCAACAATGACAGTTGAAGAATTCTGTCAAAAACGTATCAATGATGGAATGTAAGTATAAAAAAATATAGTTGAAGTTTTAAGATTCTTATTATATTATTTTTTTTTATGTTAGATGGCATTTACCTACTGCTGATAATACCAAGTGTTTACAACAACTGTCTGAAGCCCCAGAACCAGAACAAGAAGATAAGGAGGACAAAATCAATGAGGAAGAAGAAGAAAATGAAAGACAACGATTAAATGCTCGCGACGAGTACAAAGATGACCATCGCCGAGGATGGGGTAATAGGCATAATAGAAGTTAAATGGCCTGATAAGAGTCATTGATATGAATGTATTATGTATACAAAGTCTGTTTTGTATGAACTATATTACAAAATTGATGTCCAATTCTTTACAAACACTATTAATACATTTTTGTAAATAGCTATATTAAATCTAAATAAATTTTGGTCATCCAAAAATTGTATCATTGTTTGTAAATATGTAATTACTTCATTAGGCAATTATATTGTAAGACCTAAATATACATTATATAGTTTAAAAGTAATACACTTTTTGTTAATGTATTAGAAAAAAATTGTTTATTAACACAAGTCATTATTTGGGAAATTCAATGACCTGATCTGTAGGTCTTTTGACTCTGATAATATGATGAATATGTGAAGAACTGGCCATCTCAGCTGCTCAATTGCCTAGTTATATAGAGCCACCATTTACAGTCTACAATGATCTGTATGTGAGCTAACTCACTATCATTTACTCCCCTCCCCCCAATCAGCTTGTCTAGTCTGCAGATGCCTTTTTAATAGCCCGTGCGCAGTTCTGAGTATAATATACAATATTATGAACATTCATTTGAAGCAGAGATTATTTTCTACGTCCTGTAGTCAATTCTGGTAGTTTTATTAGCAAAAATGTGTTTGTTAGAACTTAAGTATGTATTCATCACGAACGGTTGCTTATGGTGTTTGTGAGCTGCGTATTCATTAGAAACATTGCAGACCAGTGGTGAATTTTTGTTTCATTTAAACGTAACTTATAACAAAACAGGGCATTCTAACGCACAGCAATTGAGCGATGTCAGAAGCGGAAGTAATAACACACGATTTGGTGTGTGGATTATCGAACATGGTGCAGTTTTGGTAGAGAAAAAGTGATGTCGACATCAGAAACAATATGTGTATATGCTATTTCATATTTTTGGCATAATTAATTGAAAATTTGAAAGCACTTTCATTCATTATTCATTGAACATAAACAACGGGCTTCTCATGGGCTTTTTATTATATTAATTTATTTTTAATAATCGTAACTCTCTTTAAAATTAAAATATAAAAAGCCCATGAGAGGCCCTCCGTAATAATCTTACCTTTAATTTTAATAAGAGGTCAATTCACTTTAATTTTTAAGCTAACTGAGCTATACATGATCTGCTGAGCTTAAAATTTGGTATGTTACGCACTTGTAAGATGGGGACAACACATGTGGGTATAACGTCCTCTTAATGATTTTCAAACCTAGAACTATAGTGGACCAGTATTTAAAACAGAGACAATCTCGTAGGACCCAAAGGCCCATGAAAGAACCTCATTAAAATAAGACATGAGGAAATGGGAAAAATAGAAGCACGAGTCGAAAGAAGGATGTAAACATTTACACATCAGATTAAAAAGCACAACTTTCATATTTATGATTTACTAAATTGTATATTAAGTCAAATGGACAATATTTTTAAAGACTTGAAGACCCCTCAAGTTTTTCTTCAAGTTCATTTTTCATATGTAGAAATGAAAACATTAAATTTTCCAGCCTTGATCTCTCATCTTCAATAGCTTGTAATAACTTTAAATCTTTTTCTATACTTTCTCGTTCATTTTCGATTCGTTTTAATGCATTTTGTGTCATACTACCTTTATGGATTGCTTGATTATTGTTCCAATTGACTTGTTCAAAATCAAACTCATATCTGTTATCCGTTATGCCATGATTCATATTGTTTTGTACTTCATCGTCACTTTCTTGCATTTTAATTTTACGTGTAATCTGTTATATTCAACAAACTAATTTTTGAAAACTATTTGGCAGCAATGAAAATACCTGGAACAAAATTCAAATATTCGTATGCCAGAATTAAAAAAATGTATTTCATATTATGTACTTCATCACGAAAAGTAAATTAAATATTTAATACTACAGTAAAACCTCTTTATAACGGACCCTCTGTTAGACGGAATCCTCCTTATAACGGAAAATGTCAATAGTCCCAGTTCAAATAATATATAAAATTGAACTCTTTAAGACGGAACCTCTACAAAATGGAAACGGAAAATGTTCGTAATCCAATTAGTAAAAATACCCTCTGTTAAACGGAAAATAGAATTATTTAAAGATAAATTACATACACTTACATAAGTATAAACATAGCCATTGGTAATTGGCAAGTCTAAAAAACCACGGTGTTGTAAGAACATGGACATTTCTTCGTTACCTGTCATATGGAAATTTAATAAAAAAGCCTGGATGACAACAGAGATAATGGAGCAGTGGTTGCGTTATTTTAACGCAGATATGCGATCTCAGAATAGAAACGTCCTAATATTCTTAGATAATGCTGCATGTCACCCAAAGACCGAACTATCTAATACGAAAATACTTATGTTGCCCCCAAATACTACATCGATCACCCAACCAATGGATCAAGGAGTGATTTACACGTTCAAGTCTTACTATCGTAAGTTTTTGCTACAATCGTTATTATGCAAGATGGATAATTGTTCTTCAGCTCATCAGCTCGCTAAATCAATAAGTGTTTTGGATGCAGTCAATTGGATAGCGTTGGCTTGCGATAATGTAAAAGCTGAATGTGTACAAAATTGTATAAATTGTATTTACCTAAAATATAATTTTTTTAATACATACGTACACATACATAAATTCTTGAAACATTTTTTTTTACCTCTCTAAGGCGGAAAACTCTTTATAACGGAAAAATTGTTGGTCCCAAGCGATTCCGTTATAGAGAGGTTTTACTGTATTTACCAACTAAATACCTACTAGTTCAATCATCAAAGTATTTTTGCTTATGATAAATTATATAGTTAATTTATTTAATTTGGTATAGGTTTATGATGATCTGGCAGCCAACATAGTATAGTAAAATAGAAACAAAAATGGCTTAAAAATAATAATAGTAATAAATAGGCTAATAATAGATAACTGTTTAATGTAACACACATTCCAGCAATAGAAGCAAAGACTAAATATTAATTACTAATAATATAGGAAGGAAGGATGGATCCTCGTCTGCAAGTAGGTTTAGTCATAAATCATTCATCAATCAGCCAGACGAATATGCATACACAGTTAATGGTAAACTTTGGAGTACAAAAGGAAAAGGGAGCATAAATGAATCTGACATTCAGACAGTTACACAAGTAATACCCAAAGATAATTCACAAGATTATCAAGATAGTCTCA